GCAGCCCCTCCCCCGGCCATGGTCAGCCCTGGGCCCTGCAGCCCCTCTGTCCACCTTTTCCTGGGGTCTCTGAAGGGCAGCTGAGGCGGGCAGCCCACGAGGGGTCAGGGAGCTCTGAGCCCAGTGACCACTGTGAGCGAGCGCCAGCTGTGCCTGCCTCTGTTGCCAGGTCCTGGACCCTCGGGCTTGTTTGGGGACTGCGGACAGCGGGCCGGGAAGCCTTCCCGCTCCTCCCACTTTCCTGGAAGGACCAGTGCCCGCGTTCCTGGCTCTCTGTGGGCAGCGCAGTCCAGGGAGAGGGCGGGCAAGTCCCAAAGGGCCTGGAGCCCTGGGGGAGAGCCGAGTGCAGGGAGGGGGAGTGGGGTGTGCTGGGGGTCCAGGGGGTCCTGGGAGTGGTTCTTTTGTGTGTGTGTGTGTGTGTGTGTGTGTGTGCGCGTGCTGGGGATCGAGCCCTGGGGCACTTTACCACTGAGTAACACCCCAGCCGTTTTTATTTTTTATTTTGAGACGGGGTCTCACAAAGTTGCTGAGGCTAATCTTGAACTTGAGATCCTCCTGCCTCAGTCTTCCAAGTGTCTGGGATTACAGGCATGTGCCAGGCCCCGAGCCCCACCTGGGAGGTGTTCTTGACAGCAGTGTCCCCCTCCTGTGGTGTTCTGAGGATGAAGTGCTGTGTTCAGGAGCTCTTCATTCATGACCCGCTGAGTAAAAGCTTCCCAAAATGCAGGCTGGGGGTGGAGCTCAGTGGTCGAGAGCTGGCCTGGCCCTGGCGTGTGCGAGGCTCTGGGCTCCATCCCTGGCCCTGGAAGATAATTCCTCAAATGGAACAGTAAAGGGGTCAGCGGGAGGCTGGAGAGGAGAGGGTGGGGACGGGTGAGGTGATGGCCGGCCTGTGGCTGGCCTGGTGTGCTCTGAGGGCTGGGGCTGGGGCAGGGTTTTCGCAGGACCTGAGAAGATCCCATGCCCTTTTCTCTTTTATTGAGGTGCAATTCACATAACACAAAAATGATGATTTTTTTCCCATGCCTGTGATGGAACCCAGGGCTCCACATGTGCTGGGCGAGTGCTCTGCCACTGAGCCCCACCCAGCCCCAGACTGGGGTAGCGTGGACACCTCACTGGCATTGGGCCTCCATCTCATTCCAGAATATCTCATCACCAGGTGGAGACACCTCTAAGCCCTGAGCATTGGTGTCTCCTTTCCACCCCTTTGGCTCCCAGTCTGCTTTCCGTCTCTGTGCTGGGCGCTTCCAGGTGGTGGAATCATGGCTTCACACTCTGTGGCCTTCTGTGTCTGGCACCTTTGACTTGGCATCGTGTTTTCGAGGTCCTTTTGTGTGTACCAGGACTTCAAGGCCCGTGAGCCACGTCACCCCCCCTCTCTGTTCTCCCCCCAGCATGGCTGATAAGAACGGGGCCCTCAAGTGCACCTTCTCGGCGCCCGGCCACAGCACCAGCCTCCTGCAGGGCCTGGCCACCCTCCGTGCCCAGGGCCAGCTCCTGGACGTGGTCTTGACCATCAACAGAGAGGTCTTTCATGCGCACAAGGTGGTCCTGGCTGCCTGCAGCGATTACTTTAGGTGAGTGCGGGCCCTGGGAACTTGGAGGGGGGGACAGGTTGACAGCAGCCACCTTCTAAGAAGGGGCCCATCTTAGCACCAGCCAGAAATGGCTGTGAGGGAGAATGGCTGGTGTTGGCTTGGAGAGAAGCCCCCTGCCTACTAACCCTGCCCGCTTCTCCTTGACTCTCATTCTTCTGGGGCACAGCATGCTTGGGAGTCTGGGGCACCTGCTTCAAGGTTCAGCCAGGCTTGCTTTCTTGTTTCTATCCTGGGATTGAACCCAGAGGTGCTTAACCACTGAGCCACGTCCCGAGTCCTATTTTTAAAATATTTTATTTAGAGATGGGTCTCTCTGACTTGCTTAGGGCCTCACTGAGTTGCCGAGGCTGGCTTAGAACTCACCCTCCTCCTGCCTCAGCCTCCCAAGCTGCTAGGATTACAGGCGTGCGCCACTGTGCCCCACTAGGCCAGGCTTTCATTCCAAGTCTTCATTGGACAATTGCCCTATGCCAGGTGCTGATCTAGGCCTCGTGGATCTAGCAGGTACGAAATGGGCCCAGGTCCCTGCCTCCATGACACCCCCACTCACACCTAAAGCAGAAGAGCTGGGGGACTGGAGGGGTACCAGCAGCCCTCATGTCTTGCTGACCCCATGTGTTGGGCCCCATCTGAGCCTGGGTGAGGCTCTTCTGTGCCCTGTGTGGTGGGTGCTTCCTCCGTGCAGTAGCCAAAACCTTGGTGGGCACGTGGCTCTGTCCTTCCCTATGCCGTGGCTGGGCCAGAAGAGAGAGCCCCTTGGAGCTACATGGGCAGGGAGATTCCTCTTCCCTATTGGGGGCTGTCATGGGGCTAGAGATGGTCTCCCCATTCCCTTGGGGACAAGCGGGTGAGCCTCCTAGCTGCCAGACTGAGCTGGGCGGCCCTGGGAGCCACTCCTGGGCTCACTTCAGCCCAGGTGTGTCTGGGGCCACACATCCCCGCGCCCCGCCGCCCGCCCGGTGGCTCAGCAAGGCCATTGTGGGGAGCCACAGCCGCCAAGCCAACTGGGGCGCCGTTTCTATTTTTACTCTGGATTTGGGGACGGGTGGGCCAGCCCAGCCAGCAATGCCCTTTAAAGGCTCCCCCGCGCTGGCACTGCAGCCGCAAGACCTTAAAAGGCAAAACTCCTTCCCGTCGCCTGCGACAGCCTCAGTCTTCCTCATGATGCCCCAGGGCTGGCGGGGACTCCAGGGGACAGGCCTGGGAGCTGGCGCTCACTGCTCCTAAGAAGCCTTGGGTGCTGGGCAGCTTGCTGGGCAGTGGTTAGCTGGTGGCACCTCACAGCTGTCCTCTTGCCGTGGTCCCAAGCCTGGCCCACACAGGTGTCACTAGGGCACAAACATCTAAGGGGCAGAGAAGAGCAGAGTTCCTCTCTCCTCAGGGCCCATCGGGGACAGTGCCCTGGTGTGGAATGCCAGCCTGCCCCGAGGGACCTGCCCACATACTGAGCAAGCCCTGGGTGGGCACTGGGGTGGGGGAGGCTTTGAGCCCCAGGCTTCCCCAGTGTCCTCCTGCCTGGGCCTGTGTCCCTTTACCAGCTGTCATGTTGGCTCCAGCCTCTCAGAGCAGAGCAGTGGGGACACAGAGCTGGGGTCCCTAGCTTGGAGTCTCACATTGGGCTGGGGACTCTGGACTCTGCTTGGAGCAGGGAGGTGCTTCCGTGTTCCTGGGCTCTCTCTGGAGACAGCAGCAGCCCCCTGCATGGCCTCCAGTAGTTGTCCCATTCCAGGGGACCCTTGTTGGTGGTTGCCCGGGCCCAGGCTGGGGAGCTGGAGCTGCTCGCGGAGGCAGTGAGCAGCCAGGGACTGGGCTTTGGAGACCGTGGCAGGACACCTGTGCCTCGCTTGTGTCCTGAGCTTAGGTGGCTTTTCCCTTGGAGCCTTTGCTTCTCTGAGTCAGCTGGGCTCCAGCAAGTGGCTTGTTGGGTGAGGCTGACCTGGGCCGGCTGCTCCTGCAGCTCTGAGCCAGGGCTGCCATCTAAACTAAGGGCTCAGGCAGTGCCCCCTGCAGGGGCCGCTGGGAGTCACTGTTTCTGGAAGGAGGCACCACTGGGGTGGACTCAAACTCTTTTTTTTTTTTTTTTGGTACCAGGGATTGAGTTCAGGGGCACTGGACCACTCAGCCACATCCCCAGCCCTGTTTTGTATTTTATTTAGAGACGGGGTCTCGCTGAGTTGCTTAGGGTCTCATATTTGCTGAGGCTGGCTTTGAACTTGCCATCCTCCTGCCTCAGCCTCCCAAGCTGCTGGGATTACAGGCGTGTGCCATGGTGCCCGGCTCAAACCCTTTCTTTCCTTCCTTGTTCTTCCTGAGAGTCCAGCCCCACTGTCTTCCTGCTGGCTACGCCCTGCCTTCCTGTCCCTCTGCCAGACTGTTGCTGGTGGAGAGGACTCCCCTTGGTCACCCCCAGCCCATACTGTGTTTCCATCCCTCAGGGCTATGTTCACGGGAGGCATGAGGGAGGCCAGCCAGGATGTCATTGAGCTGAAAGGCGTGTCTGCCCGCGGCCTGCGGCACATCATCGACTTCGCCTACAGCGCCGAGGTGACCCTGGACCTGGACTGCGTGCAGGACGTGCTGGGCGCCGCGGTGTTCCTGCAGATGCTGCCGGTGGTGGAGCTGTGCGAGGAGTTCCTCAAGGCCGCCATGAGCGTGGAGACCTGCCTCAACATCGGCCAGATGGCCACCACCTTCAGCCTGGCCTCGCTCAGGGAGTCGGTGGACGCCTTCACCTTCCGCCACTTCCTGCAGATCGCCGAGGAGGAAGACTTCCTGCGCCTGCCTCTGGAGCGCCTGGTCTTCTTCCTGCAGAGCAACCGGCTGCAGAGCTGCTCCGAGATCGACCTGTTCCGAGCCGCCGTCCGCTGGCTGCAGCATGACCCGGCCCGGCGGCCGCGCGCCAGCCACGTGCTGTGCCACATCCGCTTCCCGCTCATGCAGTCGTCGGAGCTGGTGGACAGCGTGCAGACGCTGGACATCATGGTGGAGGACGTGCTCTGCCGCCAGTACCTGCTGGAGGCCTTCAACTACCAGGTGCTACCCTTCCGGCAGCACGAGATGCAGTCTCCACGCACCGCCGTGCGCTCCGACGTCCCCTCCCTGGTCACCTTCGGTGGCACCCCCTACACTGACAGTGACCGGTCCGTCAGCAGCAAGGTGTACCAGCTGCCCGAGCCAGGCGCCCGGCACTTCCGCGAGCTCACGGAGATGGAGGTGGGCTGCAGCCACACGTGCGTGGCCGTGCTGGACAACTTCGTGTACGTGGCCGGGGGCCAGCACCTGCAGTACCGCAGCGGCGAGGGCGCGGTGGACGCCTGCTACCGCTACGACCCGCACCTGAACCGCTGGCTGCGCCTGCAGGCCATGCAGGAGAGCCGCATCCAGTTCCAGCTCAACGTGCTGTGCGGCATGGTGTACGCCACCGGCGGCCGCAACCGCGCCGGCAGCCTGGCCTCGGTGGAGAGGTACTGCCCCCGGCGCAACGAGTGGGGCTACGCCTGCTCGCTCAAGCGCCGCACCTGGGGCCACGCCGGGGCCTCTTCCGGGGGCCGCCTCTACATCTCAGGGGGCTACGGCATCTCGGTGGAGGACAAGAAGGCGCTGCACTGCTACGATCCCGTGGCCGACCAGTGGGAGTTCAAGGCGCCCATGAGCGAGCCCCGGGTGCTCCACGCCATGGTGGGCGCTGGTGGCCGCATCTATGCCCTTGGTGGCCGCATGGACCACGTGGATCGCTGCTTCGATGTGCTGGCTGTGGAGTACTACGTGCCCGAGACGGACCAGTGGACCAGCGTGACCCCCATGCGGGCTGGCCAGTCGGAGGCCGGCTGCTGCCTGCTGGAGAGGAAGATCTATATCGTGGGGGGCTACAACTGGCGCCTCAACAACGTGACGGGCATCGTGCAGGTGTACAACACGGAGACGGACCAGTGGGAGCGGGACCTGCACTTCCCAGAGTCCTTTGCGGGCATCGCCTGCGCCCCTGTCCTGCTGCCGCGCGCTGGGGGCAGGAGGTAGTTCCTTGGACTCCTGGGATCCTGGCCCAGCTGCATGTGGTCTCCCAGCCCGCCCAGCAGGCACTCCCGGCGCTGGCCTCCAGGGGCCTGCTGAGCTGAGGAGCTGGGCACCCTCCTGAGGCAGATCCTGGCTCTGAGTACAGCCCAGGGGTCCAGCCCCAAAGGCCACCACATCATGGCAACAAGCTCATGCCCCAGGTGGTTCCCTCACCCAGCCTGCAAGTCCTGCTATGGGGGGCAGCTGGGCTCCTCGTGCTGTCATTGTGTGGCTCTGCTTCCCTTCCCTCCCTTCCCCACCCAGCTCTGCCTGCCTGTGGTTCAGAGCCCATGAACACTGAATGCCAGGCCCCTGGGATGCACCTCCCCGCCCTCCTGAGTCGCCCAAAGCCTCCCTAACATGGGGGCTCTCAGGGCAGGAGAGGCAGCTCCAGAGCCCCTGGGTTGGGCTGATGGATGGGGAGGGCCTCTCTGCTTCCCTAGATGTGCTTGCCCAACCCTTTCAGCCTGAGCTGCCTCGAGGCCTCTGCCTGCGTCCCCCTGCCTGTCCTGGGCCCCTGCACCTTAAGGGCCCCTGCTCCTCTGCTTGCAGGAGAAACCACAGCTGACTCCCGGAGGCAGCCCTGAGGGCGCTGGGCCCTCCATTTGGCGCTGAGCATCACCCAGGGCCTGAATGAGGGTGGCCGGCCAAGATGCCCCATCTGCCGCCTTGGCTCTGGGTGGCCAGGCTGTCCCTTCCCATGGTGGAGGGGACACCAGCCCAGGCTCCAGAGTGCTTCTGCATCCCACAGGGCTGTGGACAATTTTGATTCCCCTCCCTCAGCCCAGCCCAGCCCTGGTTTTAGGTCAACACACCACCAAGCCTGAGGCCACCCTTGGGCGGGCAGGTGCTGGGGCTGCTCCTTCAAGGGCTTTGCGGTATCTCTGGCCACATTTGTTTTGGTGTCTAACCCTCTAAACGTCTTCTTTTTGTTTTGTTTACTCTTTTTTTTTTTTTTTTAGAAGCCAGCACTGCTGTCTTCTAAGTGAGGTTCATACTCTAGGGGCAACTTAAAGTGTCTCTTCTGCTGCTAACAGAGGATGGATGTCGTGTTTTGTGACCCGCTCACGGTGTAAAGGATTAACCTCATACCTCAGCCGCCGTCCTTCCCTAATGTCTCCCTTTATTTAATAAAAATGTTATGGTGAAAAGATGGAGCGGCCCCGAGCTGAGCCCGTGCAGCTTGGGCCTGATTGGTCACAGATTCTGCTGCGTGTATCCTCCGTGTGTTTGGGGCTCCTCTCCCCTGCCCCAGCCTTTTCCCTCATTGCCAGGAGCTGGGGGCGGGGGGGGGGGGGCTGGGTCTTGGTTCAGGAGGACAGGGACAGTGGGAAGTTCTCTTAGGACATCCACCTGGGCCCAGGGTGGGGCAGCCTTGGAGGGAAGCTCCAAGGAGAGTCTTTCCAGTTTCCTGGCCCCTGCCACCAGGCAGCCCCAGCCCCCTCCCCGCAGGTCCCTTCTTCCCATCTGCGTAGTCTCAGGGACCAAGGCAGATCAGGCGGCCTGGGAGCCTCTCTCCCCAGGGGACGTGCTGGGGGGGACACAGGCAGGTCCTACAGGAAGCGTGACGTCATCGTTCCTCCATATGGGCCTGAGAGCGCCTCCAAGAGCCCCACACCCCAGGCCTTGCCAGGCACCCAGCTACACAGAGCAGGCCACTGGGGGCTGCCTGCTGGTGGCAAATGCCTGACATCCTGGACAGACTTCCAAGAAGGGATGGCACTGGGATCATTCTGCAAACGCAGGTCTGTGTAAGTGGCCTCACCCGATGTCCCAGCACCCCTGTGCAGCTGCCTTGGGCCCCAGGGTGAGGCTGGAGGCGGAGCAGTGCTGAGACGGGAACTTGGTTGGGAACCTGGAAGGAGCCCACGCTGCCAAGGGGCATCAAAACCAAAGCCGCTGTCCCAGGGGACTCCTCAGAACATTCCCGCCCCACCCCCGACCCGAGCTCCCCAAAGAGAGCGCTTCGCCATTGGAGGCACAGCCCCTTCAGGGGGTAGAGAGAAGCCTTTGCCAGCTGCAAGTCCCCCAGATCAGCTCACACCTCAGAACATCTTGTCCCCAATGAGCTGGCAGGGGTGCCGGCCGCGGGAGGGGGCGCTGCCGTATCTAACCCCGGTCGATTGTGCAGAACCGTCTGAGCCGGTTCATGGAATGTTCTCCAGGGCCCCCTGCCCCTCCCTCGGCCCCCATCCTACCCCCGGAAGAAAGGAAAATTATTTTTTGTATTGTAAACTTTAAACACGAAAAAGCTGTTTTTAATTTAGCAGAAACTGGCTCGAATCTTCACTTTGTGAACGTTTGTGTCCTTCGGAGAGAGGCGGAACACGCCTGCGCACACCCGCGCTCGCACACCCTCACCGGCACACCTGCCTGCGTGCACTGTGCCCCGCACACTCGTGTGCTCCTGCTGTGCACTCGGGTGTGCCTGCTCTGGCTCACGCCCTCTGTGACACCTGGCATCCTCGCTCACATGTGCTGAGACGCGAGCCACAGGCACGAGTTCACACGAGTTCGCGCCCCCGGACCCCCCTCCCCCCGCCTGGTGTCCCAAAGGGACCTGGAGCCCTGCACCTCCCTGGCCCTGGGCTTCCAGACGTGCTGCTTCCTGGCTGCGGCCTGGACGTGGACTCGGAGCCTCCCTCCACACCTGGTTTAGGCTGTGGGAAAACATTCTCCTGAGACGGAGGAGGCAGGCCGGCCAGAGGGAGGCCAAGTGTGACTTCTGGGACCTCGCAACAAATGAGGGCCAAGGGGGCCTCTGGGGAGCCCTGTGAGGTGGGAATCCATCCTGGACCTGGCCAACTTGGAAACCCGCCCCTGGCTCTGTCTCCAAGAAACAGACTCCAGCTCCTTGTTTCTCACGGGCCCTGGAGATTGGCTCTGCACAGTGGAGCCTCCGGACCCTGCCTCGCAGCAGCTCCGCACCCAGCGAGGCTCAGGCACAGAGAGGGCGTGGCCCAGTGAGCGGGGCACAGGGGAGAGGCCTGGGGTGAGAAGGCGGGAGCAAAAGCCTCCTTCACCCCAGCCTTTGTGGGCACCACTTGTGTTTGGGCCTCCCAGGTCAAGAACTGGCGGGGGGCTGTTTAAGGCCCCCAGCTTAGTTCTTGTCTGCCTGTCATTCTCATGGCCTATCCTGCTGGTGGCCAACCCAGCAGCCTTAACTCACCAACAAAACCCTGATATGGTGCCAGTAGCAACGTGCCCAGCCTCAGGGGTTGATTTAAGATTCAGCTGAGCCATTCTTGGCAATGCTTTTTACCGGGGTTGTTTTCAATCCGGGCATGTTTCCCAGCTCTGGCCAGAAAGTTTTAAGGGGTTGGATGTTTCTGGACAAGGGAGAGACCTTGTTGCCCCCTCCCTTTCCTTACTGCTTCATATGTGGATGCAATGCCAGGAACTTCTGCAGCCATCTTGTGGCCATGAGGAGCAAGTTAGAGATGCTTTCTGGGGCTGGGGTTCTGGCTCAGTGGTACAGTGCTTGCCTCCCATGTGTGAGGCACTGGGTTCAATTCTCAGGACCACATATAAATAAGTGACTAAAATAAAGGTCCATTAACAACTAAAAAAAAAAAAAAAGAGAGAGAGAGAGATGCTTTCTCCCAGATCCCTGAATCACACACAGGGTCACCAGTGCTATCATGGCTCTTCTGACCTCTAGATTCCTTGTTATGAGAAATAATATCTGTGCTATTTAAGACACTCACAGTCAGATATTCTAATACTTGCAATAAAACAGTTTCCAACTTATAATATAAAATGTGACAGAGGCTAGAGTTTCTCATGGTAAATGAGTCAAGGTTTTTATTTGTAAGCAACAGAAGCTGATGGGGGCCAATTTAAGCAGTGGAAGTACATGTTAGAAAACTGACAGGGCTGGGGGTGGAGCTCAGTGGGAAAGCACTTGCCCAGATCACGTGAGACCCTGGGTTCAACCCCCAGCACTGTCAGAAACCAAAAGAGAAAAGTGTAGCTCACAGAAGCCGAAGGATGGTGATTTCAGCTGAGGGTAAAATAATGTCAGGGGCCAGGGCGGTGATGATGCTCCTGCCACCACTGCCGAATCCAGATGCCTCCATTGGCACTGCCATCTGTCCTTGGCATTCAGCCATCATGGCCCCTGGAACCACTACAGAACTGGATGGCCCTGCTCTGACACTGCTTTTTGGTACCACTTCTCCCTGAATGGAAATGTCCTGCTAGCCCAGCGCTCATCTTAGGCCAACATCCCAGGCACTTGGGGAGTAGAGACAGTAAGTATGTGAGTGTATCTGTCAGCTACTGCTGCGTAGTGAACAAGCCCATCTCAACAGCACACAACGAGTGTTTGTTTTTCACGTCTGAAGTGAGCCTTAGGGTGCTCCTGCTGGGCTAGCCTTGGCTGGGCAGCTCTGCTTCCACATGCAAGGCCATGGGTGGGCAGAGGCTCTTGCTTCCCTGTCTCACATTCTCCGGGGACCAGCAGCTAGCCACAGCACAGTCTCCTCCTCCTCCTGAGGACAAGTGGGATCCCCTGAGGCCTTCTAATTCTAGACTTGGGACTTAGATGCAATTGCACCTTCCCGTGTCTTTAGCCAAGTAAGTCACATGGCTGAGCTGAGAAGGAGGAGTGGGGAACTGCCAAGTCCCATAGCCAAGGACACGGTCTCAGGAATGAGTGGGGGAATCGGGGCCCACAGTTCCATTAATCACCATTGCCCTGGGGGCGTCCGTTAGAGAGGGCTGACTCCCCAAGTTTGAACAGGAACCCAGAAGTGGACAACCAGAAAGGGAAGCCGGCCCTCCTCTGCCGCACCTTGGCCTCTGGAGGCAGGGAGGGGGAGCCTCTCAATTTTTGTCCTGTGGGCGTGGTTGTGGGTGTCCTGGGCATCGGGAGGATCTGGATGGCGGGCCAGCTGAGGCTCAGCTGGGTTCAGGCGGAGGCTTTGTGGGTGCTGTTGGTAGCCCATCCCGGCTGCCCCTTCACGGGAGCCTTTGGGGTCCCTCGGAGGTGACCCCCGAGTCCCGCCCACTGAGCTCCAGCCCTTGCTGCCCTTTGTGGTGACCCCACCTTGTTTCACCTCCTACTCCACCTTGAGCCAGGGCTGGAGGGCAAGGGCCTGGTTCTCACCCCACACGTGTTCTGCCATGAGGTCTGCACATTTTTTTGTTCAGTTTTATTTATTATTATTTCAGTTTTAGGTGGACGCAATATCTTTATTTTATTTTTATGTGGTGCTGAGCATTGAACCCAGTGCCTCACGCATGGTAGGCGAGCGCTCTACTTCTGAGCCACAACCCCAACCCGGTTTTTTCTTTCTTTTTCTTTTTGTGTGGGGATTGAACCCAGGGGCACTCGACCACATTCCCACCCTTTTGTATTTTATTTAGAGACAGGGGCTCACTGAGTTGCTTAACGCCTTGTTTTTGCTGAAGCCTCAGGCTTTGAACTTGCGATCCTCCTGCCTCAGCCTCCCCAGCGCTGGGATTACAGGTGTGCACCACCGCGCCCGGAACAGGTTTTTCCTTTTTCTTTTTCTTTTTGTCTTTGCTGAGCTGGGGTTGGAACCAGGGCCCCACACGAGCTAGGCAAACGCTCTACCACTGAGTCACATCTCCGGCCCCGTGTCTGAATTTTTTGGCTTCTATTGGGACTTTACCTCTTGCTCCATAATCAGACCTGATTCCTTTCTTGCTTCACCTCTTTCTTTTTGTTTTTGGCGGCACTGGGGATGGAGCCCAGGGCCTTGAACGTGCTAGGCAGGCGCACACAGCCCCGGGTTACCCTCTTTGGAAGTCAGAAGCGGGCCCTGGATGGTTTTCCTTTTTGCCTCCCAGTTCCAACGGCCCTAATTCACTTCGACACAGTGTGGTACCCCAAATAGACTAAGATCCCATATAAGGAAGAGCAAGAAAGCAAAGCGTAAACCAACATCTTCAAGAAGCATTTTGCTTCCCTGGCAGTTAGTGCCCATGATGAAGCGGGCGCGGGGCTAAGTGCTTTTGTGCATTATCTGTTTAATCTTCCCCAGAGTCTGGTATGAGGAGTGCCATTATCCACATTTAACTGGGGAGGATAGTGAGGCTCAGAGAGGTGATGACACTTTCCCATTGTCACACATCTGGACAATCAACAAAGCTCGGACTGCAAGCTCTCAGGAGTTTAGGGTTTTATTTAACTGTGTTGAGAGGCTTGCTGTGGCCCAGATGCAGAGGGGAAAGGTGTTCCAAGGGGGCAGCCTGTGCAAAGGCCCTGAGGCAAAACATAGCAAGGCTGGAGTATAGGGTGTGAGAAAGGGAAGGGCAGAGGCCATGTTGGGGGAGTTGATGGGGAAGGAATGGAGCCAGGTAGAGTTAGGAAGCAGAGGAGAGAGAACTAGATTTGGGAGGCAGTGGGAAGTGGTTTATGAAATGTGCTTCATAACTCAAGCGAAGCTCTTCAGCAACTGATTAGCTGAAGAGTGACCCAGGGCAGGTCGGCCCTAGAGGGAGGGACTCCGATCTCTTTGGGGATCAGATGGGTTTTCTAAAACACAGAACACTGGAGGTGTTTTTTGTTTGTTTGTTTGTTTGTTTTTTTTAATTTACTTTTTATTTGTAGTTGGACACAACACCTTTATTTTACTTATTTATTTTTATGTGGTGCTGAGGATCGAACTCAGGGCTTTGCCTGTGCTAGGCAAGCACTCTACCACTGAGCCACAACCCCAGCCCTGGAAGTGGGTTTTGATGGATGAATAGGAGATTCCCAGGGACAAAATCATTCAGCAGACACTCTGTGCCCCACCTTGTGCCTAGTACAGTGTCAGCTCTGGGTTCCTAGGGAAACAAGAGTGAACACAGGTAAGTCTAAAATGAGGCCCAAAGTTCTCAGACTCTCAGGGAATAGGAACCGAGCCTTAAAAATAAGGAATCGTGAGCTGGGTGCGGTGGCACAGGCCTGTAATCCCAGCGGTTCAGGAGGCTGAGGCAAGTTCAAGGCCAGCCTCAGCGATTTACTGAGGCCCTAAGCAACTCAGCGAGACCCTCTCTCTAAATAAAACTATAAAAAGGGCTGGGGATTTAGCTCAGTGGGTAGAGTACTTGTCTCACATACCCAAGGCCATGCGTTCAATCCCAGCACCAGAAAACTCAATCAATCAATCAATCTAGAAAAAAAAAAAAAAGGAATGGCCGTATGTCGGTGCCCTCGGATCCGGGTGTGAGATCACCCTCTGATCTCAGCTCAGTGAGTGGGAAAGCAGACAGGGCTCCAGAAACAGCTGCCTTTGAACAGCTGGGTCACGGGTCCAGACTCTGGGGTCATTTCCAACAGTCCTTTAAGGAGGGCATCTCAGAAGAAAAGTGAGCAGGCGCCCGCCATGGAAGGATCTGGGGGGACAGCAGTCCAGGCAGAGGGAGCAGCACAGGGGAAGAGGACAGGGTGGCTGGGGGGGGGTCAAGGGAGCACAGGCCTTTGGGGGCTCAGGACTGGAACTGGTTTACAAGACACGGGCGGCTCTAAGGAGCCTCAGCAGGCTGGCTGGGCGGCAGTGACTTCTTTTGATGAAGGTGGGAGTGAAGACCTCAGGATGGGTCCTCCGGGGTAGCCCTCCCCCTGCCCCGGGGTCAAGGGAGCAGGAAGGAGGGCTTGGGTCACTGTCTGGCCATTGTGCAATAAGCAGCCGGGAGCTTCTTCTGACTCATCTCCAGGGTTTGGGAAGGATCAAATTACATGCCCAGCTTGGGGTGAATGGGGGTGAGCAGGGTGAGCTTTGGCCTGGGTCCTGAATGTGGGGGCGTGGCCCCTTGTTGAGATCCAGCAACCTCTGCTGCCTCCCAAATCTTTCCTCCTCCATCTTTCTGGGTCCAGAAACTGGCTTCCTGCTGATGCATGTGAGTGACTAGGGTAACCGATATTTAATATGCACTTATGAGCCAAACAGGTGACATGCATTAACTTCATTTAAACCTTACAAAACCTGGAATGAGGAAGGAAGCTGAGCTCTACTGTCAGGACAGATTCCAGCCCTGGTTTCCATGCTGAACTTGCTCTGGGAAGCTGCTGTCCCTGTCCCTGCCCCATTTCTATTTCATCTCTGACCTCAAGTGACGATAACAAGAACTAGATGCCACATTTATAGCATGCTGCCTTGCACCTGACGCATAGAAGCTGCAGTCGCATCTGTGCCAGGGATAGAAAAATGGACTTTAAATCACTTTAAGCAAAAAAGGGAATACATTTTTGGCTCATATAACTGAAAAGGCAAGGATGTCTAGCTTCAGGCACAGCTGGATCCAGGAGCTCAGAAAATGTCTGTTGCTACCTTTTGGTTCTGTTATCCTCTCTGCATGGGCCCACCCTCTTCATATAGTGACCTCTGGCACTGAAGACCTATACTAGTCTTGGGGGAGGGTTATCTTCATTTTCCATGGTTCAAACAAAAATTCCAGAATTACATTGCACTGTCTGGCCTGAGCCAACCATTATGGCCAGAGCAAGGGGCTGTGCTGATTGGCCAAAACTTCCATCTTAGGGAGACATGTCTTAGGAAGGAAGAGCAGTGAGGACAGCCCCATGCACACCTCAGATGCTGAAAGTCTGACTGGGTTTCCCAGAAGGATCACTGTTGATGTCATAAAGGGTGGGGAAGGGTGGTTTGGCAAAAAGAGGTGAAGTCTATGAAATGCTCGAAATCATATGAACATGAAAGAAAAACAGGGCAGCGGCAAAGGCCTGAGCCATTCCAAATGCAAATCTATGTATATAAATGTATTTAATATGGACATTTTATCAACCCATTGTAAAGAGCAAATAAAAGCACTCTTGGAAAGTGTTGGCGTCTCCCCATAATCAGCATTCCCTCCGTCATCTCTCTCTAGTACAAATGTGCTTGTTGTCCAAAGCCTCCCCAAATCCTTCTGGTCGCTCCTCCTGGCTTCCTCTCTGAAGTCCCTGATCCTCCTGAATATGATTTTCAATATGGTGGCTGAGGTCCCTTTGATCCAGGAGGGATAGTTAGATGGCAGAGCAACTCCTGCTTCTCTAGGTCACCCCCGCTGCCATTGGTGAGACTCTGTCCCCAACTTCTACTGCCAGGTCTAGGTGGAATTTCTGGATCCTTCTGTTAACCCTCCATGGCAAAGCAGAAATCCTTGAACAGGACCAAAGTGAGAAATACACAGAGGAGGCTGAAGTTTCATAATTTCAGTTTTTTGGGCTCATGTGTCCAGAATGGCTGGTTCAATGGGTGGAGGAAGGAAAAGAAAGGTGTTAAGGATGACCTCCAGGTTTACGAACTGGGGCTGATGGTGAGCTCAAGTCTCAGTTCAAATGTGCCCTGCTTCCCTGGCCCTGGTGGCTGTAGGAGCCTCTCCCTAGTGTGGCTCTCAAGCTGGCCTGTTACTGGTCTTATTTTTCCACACATTTATTTCCAGATGTTCTTGCTCGTGTCTTTGTGGGTTATTTTTGCTTCTCTCCCCAACCGTGCACCAAAGGGCAGGGCTCACGTGTCCATGCTCAAACCCTAGTTTGCCTGGCACATAGTAGGTACTTCATAAAGAGTGAATGTCGTTGTCAGGTGGGGGTGACATCCACCTATAGTCCCAGCAACTCATGAGGCAGAGACAGGAGAATGCCAAATTCCAGGACAGTCAAGAGCTAGACCCTCTCCCAGAATAAAAAAGAAAAAGGGTGGGGATGGCGTTCAGAGGTGGAGTGCTTGTTTAGCATGCTTGAGCCTCTGGGTTCAAACCCCAGCACTCCAAAACCAGGGAAAAAAAGGAAATGAAGTTGGAAAAAAAGGAAATGAATGTAGCTCTGAACTGGTCTCAGAGCTCTGGGTCCGAGTCCAGGCTTTGCCTCGGGGAGCCACCTGTCCCCGAGACGTGCCTGGTCCCACCCTTGTGAAACGGGAGTGCGTGGGTCAGGCTGGCTCGCTCTGGGGGTCTCCAGCACTATGGCCCATTTCTGGATCTTGCCCAACGGCCAGGCGGCCGCTGTCCAGCTAGTCAGGCAGCGGATCAGAGCGCCTGCGCCGAAATTCCCACTCTTTCCCTCTTCCCTCCCCGTGGGTCTGAAGCGCGCCGCCGAGGCGCGCGCATGCGCTATCGCCCCCGCGCCGCGCGTCTCTTTTCTGCGCCTGCGCCGCGCTCACGACCGCCTGCGCGCCTGCGCAGTGCTCACCGCCCGTGGGCCCGGCCGGCGCTTGCGCTGTGGCACGAGCGAGTGGGGGGGCGAGGAGGTGGAGGAGGAGGAGGAGGAGGAGGCGGCGGCGAGAAGATGGCGACTTCGAACAATCCGCGGAAATTCAGCGAGAAGATCGCCTTGCACAATCAGAAGCAGGCGGAGGAGACAGCGGCCTTCGAGGAGGTCATGAAGGACCTGAGCCTGACGCGCGCCGCGCGGGTAAGGGGGTGCCCGCGCCGACCCTTCGGGGCCGGGGGAGGAGAAAGGAGGGGGCGCGTGTCTGGCGCGTGCACGGGGCGGGGGGGCGCGCGGCGGGGGCGGGGCGCGCGTGGCGGAGGCGGGGCTTGGCACGGCCCGAGGGGGACAGGTGTCCCCGTGCCCCGGGCGTCGTGGGCGGGACGGGTACCCCCCACATCCTAGAAACCTGAGGTGTGCAGGTGTCAACACATCATTGCTACTTTAGGAGGATAGGTGACACTACATCATTGTTACCTGGAGGGGACAGGGGCTCTACATCGTTACTACCCGGAGGGAACAGGTACCACTACATCGTTGTTACCTGAGGGGGACGGATGCCGCCTATCATTACTACCTGGAGGGGACAGATGTCCCCGTGTCACTGCTACCTGGGGGGACAGGATGACGCTGAGGTGTAGGGGCTGAGTGCTGCTTGTCGGCATCATTTTTACCTGGGCGTTGGAGTACAGGTGCTCTCACAGCATTGCTACCTGAGGGGGAGAGGTGCCTCTACATCACGTTCACCTGTGCTCTTCTTGGGTGTTGGGGAGGGACAGACGTCCCCACTTGTGGACCTGGAGTGGGACAGGTGTCTCTCATTCCTGAACAGGTGAGGGAAAGGTCGGATGCTCTCCCTCACGGGGTCCTGATGGGACCTAAGAAGGCAAATTGTGCTGAGTCCTGGAACTTTTGGGGACCAGGTGATGTTCTCCCAGGGGGACGGGGGCCCTTTCAGGATGAGGGTGGGAGGATAGGTCTGCCTCAGGTGGCTGGGTGCATGTGGCCTGCAGGAGCAGGCCAGGTTCTGCCTGGCTCACTTGGGAAGCTGCCACGGGCTTGGAGCAGGGTGTGTTGGCGGTGGGGTCTGAAGCGGCTCTTCTCGTAGGCCCGTGATCATGGCCTCAGTTTCCTCCCAAGTGTGTCTAGCAAGACCTTCCTCAGGGGTCAAGGAGGAGAGCATGCTGTGCACAGGTGGCTGCAAATGTCTGCTGTGGTCCTTCAGTGGTGAGACCTCATCCTGCACTGTGGGATCTAAGAGGAGGTGGGTGTGGGAGTTGCAGGCACCCACACCCCTGGTTTCTGGATTCAGCCACTGATCTGACTGGTGCAGGTGGACTTACCTCCATCTCTGATTCCTCAGGTGGAACTTTGGGGTTGTGTTATTTTATAATTAGATGCTTGTTTCTCTCCAAGAAGGTGGCCTTGCAGGCTAGGATGTGTGTCTTCATTTCTGTGTACACATTCAGTGCAGATTGGTGCTGTGTCGGGCAGACATTGCAAGAGCCTGCTCAGGGAGCGGGCCCCGAATGTTTCTCCTCTAGGATGTGAAGAAAGAGGTGGTTGGCAAACGAATGAATGAGTGGAAGAAGAAAGAAAGTGTGCCACTTGAGTGGCATCCACAGTCAATTAACTGAAGCAGGAGTGTATGCGGCTTATCTCTAGCACATGGTGTCAAATGTTTGTAGTGTGACAGGAAGCAAGGGGTCATACTAGGTTTGTGGTGTCATCATGGTTGGAAGTTTGGTTTCTGCATGGGGCTGGAAATGGACTATTGTTGAAAAAATTTCTTTAACAGAACAGCTCCAGCTGGGCGCCTGGAATCCCAGTGGTTTGGGAGGCTGAGGCAGAAGGATTGAAAGTTCAAAGCCAGCCTCGGCAACTTAGCAAAACCCTGTCTCAAAATAAAAAATAAGAAGTGCTAGGGATGTAGTTCAGTGGTAAAGCACCCCTGGGTTCAGTGCACTTAACTACGAAAAGAAAAAAAAAAGGATAAGAAATATCAGCTTCATTGAAATATAATTCACATATCATACAATTTACTTGCTTAAAATGAAAAAGTTCTGTGATTTTTAGTTAATTCATAGAGTTGTGTGACTGGGACCACTAATTCCAGATTATTTTCATTGCCCTCAAAGAAAAAACTGTCCCCATTAGCAGTCACAGCCCATTCTCCCCCTCCCCCCGCCTTTGGCAGCACTAATCTGCTTTCTGTCTGTGGATTTGCCCGATCTGGACATTTTGTATCAATGGAATCCTGCACTGTGTGGCTTTGTGTGTCTGGCTTTCACCAGGCATGCCTGACATTTTCTGTGTCCATCTATGTTGTGTATCAGTGCTTTATTCTTTTTTTATGGCTGAGTAATATTCCTATGATGGACACATCATATTTGTTTATCCATTCATTGGTTAGTGAATTTAGAAAAAATTTTTAGAATATGCATTTGATGGTTCTGTCCACACTGGTGTCCATTTTCCATCTCCCGCCGCGCACTCTGTTGCATTCTTCACACTGGGGGGGCTGGATCCAGGCTGAGGTGCATTTACACCGAACTTTTGGAGACAAAGCAATGTTTTCTACTGGTGGGGGTGGCAGAATCAGGGGACACTTGGCAATATCTGGAGATGTTTTGATCATCCTGACTAAGGGAGGCTGTTGGCACTGGGGATGGAGGCCAGGGATGCTCTTGAGAACCCTCAATGGACAGCACACCCTACCCAGAGAGCAGTCTGGCTCCAGGTTTCCAAGGTGGAGAAGTCTCCCACTGGAGAGTGACCCAGAGGTGCTCAGGGTTCGAGCCTTGTACCCGGCTGGGTAGAATTCAGTGCTGAGCGTGCAGCCGTGGGCTGTGCCGCCTGGGCAGGTGGGACCAGGACAAGCAGGCACTCTGCCTGACTGGCCATGGTGTGTCTGTGTGGCCTGTAGGTGAGTGGGCTCACCCGACACAGGTCCCCGCCTGAGCTCCCTCCTGCAGCAGACACCAGGGCTTCCCTCACACCTGTGGATGGACTCGAGTGGCCGGGTCAGCGCCTGCTCCTCTCGGGAGTTTCTAAGGATGGCCAGCCTCCTCCTGTGTGTGCTCCTGGCTCCCCGTGGCGATGGTGGGCTCGCCTGAGGGGCTTGCAGGCGGAGGAGGCTGATCTGCAGGGGTTTACCTGGATGAGTACGTCCCTGTCGGGGGACCCCAGGGTGTTGGGTGGAGGGACTGGTGTGGTGTGCAGGCCTGAGCAGGGGAGCTGCTACCTTCCTTCCTGTGGGAGAGCTGTGGCGCTCTGCTGTGTGGCTTAGGGCAGGTTTCACAACCTTTCTGAGCCTCGAATCCAGACCTGTAAAGTTGGGGCAGCTCGTTCATTTCACTTAGTGACAATTTTTATTGCCTAGCGTGTCCCAGGGACTGTGTTGGGTGTGTGGTAACCCAGTGGTGTACAAGGTCCACCACGGCTGTGCTTTTGGGGAGCTGATGTGGATTTGGGGGGAGAAGAAGGAATCAAGTGAAGGAGGCTGTCACTGCGAGGGAGCGGTGTGCTGGGAGGGGACGGCTGGGGGCGCAGAGGGCGACATAGGCTGCCCACTCAGAGGTATGGAGGCCTTGGGGAGAAGCCTAGAGCTGGCGTGGGTGGAGAGGGGAGGAGAGGTGGGTGCAAGGCCTGGATTTCACCCTGGGGACAGAGCCCGCGAGGCTCAGCCGCGGCCCGTCTGTTGCTTATTCCTGTCACAGTTGGCCCTTCGTGTCCCCGGTCTCAGTGTCCTCAGATTCCACCAACAGGGGATTGAAAATATTTGGAAAATGAAAATTGCATCTGAACCAAACGCGTACAGACCTTTTCCCTGTCCTTGTTCCCCACACAATACAGTACGGTGACTTTTCCCAGCAATTACGTCGTGTCGGTGTCAGAAGTCATCGAGAGATGAGGGAGATTCTGCAGAAAGAAGTGCCTTGGCTCTATGCAAAGGCGACGCCGGTTCCTACCAGGGACTTGAGGATCTGTGGGTTTTGGTTTTCTTTGGGAGCGTCCTGGATCCAGGCCCCTGGGGTGCCAAGGGACTATTGTCCTTCTCCACAGCGTCCGGGCCCACCTTGCAGTGGTGTGATCATATTCACAGTTGCACGCCCAGCATCGACTTCTGTGCCCCTAAAGGAAACCCCACCCCCACTAGCAGTCACTCCCTACTCCCCTTCCCCAACCCCTGGCACCACTAATCGGCTTTTTGTCTCTCTGGATTTGCCTCTTTGGGACATTTCATATCAATGAAATCATACGCCATGTGGCCTTTGTGTCTGGCTTCTGTCACTCAGCACCATGCTTTTGAAGTAGCAAAGATTGCTGCTTCATTCCTTTTTTTTTTTTAATTTATGGCTGTCAGGTGCAGTGGCACATGCCTGTAATCCCAGCTACTTGGGAGGCTGAGGCAGGAGGATTGCAAATTTGAGGCCAGCCTTGGCAACTTAGCAAGGCCCTTAGCTAGTTAACGAGATCCTATCTTAAAATAAAAGATTAGAAGGGCTGGGGTGTAGCTCAGTAGTAGAGCACCCCTGGGTTCAATCCTTCGCTCTGCCAAAAAAATTTTTTGTGGCAAAGTATATGTAACATAAAATTAGCTGCTTTAACCTTTTTGAGGTGTACTATTAAGTGACATTAAGTACAGTCGCAGTGTTGCACAACTATCCCTTCCATCCGTCACTTCATTCCTCGGTGTAGCTGAGCGATATACTTTTTATGTGGATCTGTCACATTCACGTATCCCGCTGGACCCTTTTGGCTGTTGGGGATCTGGCAGCTATGGGCATCTGCGTCCTTGGCCTTGTGCTGGGGAGTGGAGTTGCGGGGTCCCGTGGTAGCACTGTGTACCCCCAAGAATGCTTCTGGCTTAGAAGATGGCCACAGCCGTGAGGGGGGTGGTATGGGCTGAGTGGCTGCTTCAGGCAGCCAGTAGGGGGGTGGTGGCTCCCATAGGGGGTGACCAAGAGCAAGGGATTTTGGTGGCACTTGGGCTGGGGGGTCAGATGGGAAGGGTTAGGGATAGAGCTGGGGTGTCACCACCTGGCCAAGGCTTCACTGGTTACTTATATATTTATTTTATATTTTTTAGTTGTAGACGGACACGATACCTTATTTTACTCATATGTGGTGCTGAGGATGGAACCCAGCGCCTCACACGTGCGAGGCTCTGCCACTGAGCCACCGCCCCGGCCCTTCACTGG